CAGGTAGGGTACAAGTGATTTCAAAACATTTCAGCCGGTTTATATATATCGTGTATATATTATTTATCTCGTATAAGTTGCGCTGCAGTAAAGCGCTTCATGGTACGGTGGTTATCTCTTTAGCGCGCAGTGCGAGCAGGACAAACAACAATGCATAATATTAATAACTATAACTGGGACTGTCATATACATAACATTATAATGAGAACACTATTATAATAAAATGCTTTTATTTTTTTTATTTTATTTAAAGGCGCAATAGGTGATTTGTCTTCAGAAACATTTTTTGTTATGCTGGTTGAAAGTCTCTTCACATCCCGATAGCAATCATTAAGTTAAGTGGTCTAAATGTATTTGTCTGTATTTATATATTCTGTGGAAGGCGTAGGACCAAGAAATTTTCGTCCAATCAAAACGCTCGGTCCGAGCGTTTTAATAGACTTTCCTACCTGCCTGTCAACGTATGTATTAGCATACCTATGCGCAGCCGGTTCGCGCAGACAGGATACGTCATCAACGCGTTCACGCACGCTGTGCAGACAGAGCGAGAATGGCAGACAAACATCAACAACCCGATCTTCCTTCCTGGTATTGTAGTATTTTTAAAGTTTTCTCACCGGTGAATGACACATGATGTAGGCAGCCCAGCGGTTCCCATTTCCAGTCCTCGCGCATGTATTTTGCATGTCTCGCTTCGATTCAGATAACCAGCTCGTTAGAAGAGAGCTACGTGCATGAACTGTGTTCCGATTATGCGTTCAGGGGGCGTGGCATTGGACGGTGATTGCAGGGAGGGTGGGACGTTCCCTTTCAGTGCTATCAGGCTAAAGTTAGCATTTTCCAAGATCTCCTACTGCATCTTTAATGATGGATTTTTTCTTACAAACAATCTCTTCACTTTGCAAGACGTTAAATGATGGACTGGAGTTGTTGTTATGTTTTTTTGTTATTGTTATGTTTTTATCAGTTGTTTGGACTCTCATTCTGACGGCACCCATTCACTGCAGATGATCCATTGGTGAGCAAGTCATGTAGTGCTCAATTTCTCCAAATCTGTTCTGATGAAGAAACAAACTTATCTACATCTTGGATAGCCTAAGGGTGAGTAAATTTTCAGCAATTCTTTAATTTTTGGGTGAACTATTCCTTTAAAGAAATAGTAAATTCGTCATCATTTACTTGCCCCTTAGTCATTACAAACTACGTTTATGATTTATGACATTTTTGGAGCTTGATAACGTCTGTCCCCATTCAGTTTCATTCTGTGAAACGACTTGAATGTGAATGAGAATTTTTATTTTTAGGTTAACTAAGCCTTGAAATAAAACCTTGTGGGGTTTTTTTTTCTGTTAGGGGGCTACGCTTTATCCAGGTTCTTCTCCAGAGTCTAGTGGATGGGGATAAAGATGAAAACAACCCTAACCTCATCAGAGTCAACATCACTAAAGCTTATGAGATGGCATTGAAGAAGTATCATGGCTGGTTTGTCCAGAAGCTCTTTCAAGTAAGTTTCTTAAAAAAATGTATGTATGCATTCAAAAGTTGTTTTTATCCAAGTTAAAAATAGTTTTTCATCATCTGAAAGTGAAATGAGTGAAATGTAGAAATTTCTGTTGTGATGACTGTAAATGCTTGGAAAAACCTATTGAGGTTGCCCTGTCTTTTTTAGGCAGCACTATATGCCGCACCATACAGATCAGATTTTCTCAAAGCTCTTTCAAGAGGGCGAGAGGTCAAGGAGGAAGAATGCTTGGACAAAGTGCGGCAGTTCCTAGTAAACTTCACAGCTACTATTGACGCAATCTATGAAATGTACACTAAAATGAATGCAGAGCTGGACTACACTGTGTGATCTCTCATTCACAAAACAAGCAAATTTCAGACCTCATCTTCTGCCCTCCCACTGGATCACTGTCGCCTCCCATTAGACACCTCCTTAGTCTCCTCACTGGACTGTTCTTCGGCACTACTGGATCCTGCATCTCCAGCAGTATACTGTTGCATTTTCTCTAGGGGGACAATTATGGTCCAAGCTGCTGAAGTCTCTGACGGTTTCAGAAGGGAGGATGTCTGTTATTGTTTGTTCTGTTCGTGTTGACGGTTTGAATGCCTTGGCTTTTCTTTAGAAGAGTAGTATTCTTAAAAAAGACAGTTTGTGAGTGTTTTATCATTTTAACTACTAATCCTTTCTGTTTGATTCTTAATACATGTGCACTTTAAGTATGTGCATGGAATGGTTCTGTATGTGCTCCTTTAACAATAGACTGCAAATGAGGGTTTTAATTTTACTTATATAAATTATACCAAAAACAAAAGTCTGCAGACTCTCTAACCAAATATCTGACATTGACTGTACTGCTGTTTGTTTTTGCTTTGGATTCTATTTTATGAGAAAATAATACTTGAAAATGACATAAAATATAAAGAAACCACTTCCTTAGAAGTGGCAATGAAGCCACTCTATTGAGTTGCAAAACAACATATCCAGTAAATAGTAAAACCTCTGTAATATTTTCTTAGATTTACTTCTACAAGACATATTAAGACTCTTATTATATGGATGACTGAATCTTCATTGACGTAATTGGTCTGATGTTCTGTTTATGTAATATAATGGATAAGTATTGTTGGTTTGTAGGTTTTAATTTGTCATTCCCAAATTATCAAAGGTTAAATTCACTGAACAACATTTCAGTTCTATCCCAGGTTACACCACTGCAACAACACTAGTACACTTCACAGTACAACATACAGTGCATTCTGAAGATGTTGTTTTAACAAGTGGACTTTGTCTGTTATTGTTGTCAACTGAGTTGACATCAATAAAAGCTGATTTCTTTGAATTATTTTTGTCAAAGAGTGTATCTCACTGGTGTAGAGGACGGACAAAACTGAAGCAGTACATCATGATGACCATGTGACGGATGCCTTCTGGTGCTGTTTTGCTTTTCCACTGTAATTTATTATCTTAATGTGTCTCACATCGATCATAGTTATGTGTAGTCTCTTTAAAATCTCATTAAAATCATGACCTTGTGTAAGTCGTTTTGTTGTGTGCTTTCCTTTTGGCTGCGCAAAAAAAAACGTAATATTTTGTTCTATTTTTTTTCTAGTATAACAATACTTTTCCCCCATATGTAAATGCATATTAAGCCATTGCATAACTGTGTTCTTAAAATCCAGATTTGAATACATGTACATAACAAATAAGTCATGAATAAACAAAAGACTTTGGGGCCACAAGGGGGTCTGTGGAAAATGGGATTTTATAAAAGAGAAATATATTACATAATGTATTTTAAGGTCATCTAATTTAAAGTGTTAACTTATTATATAATGTTTAAAAACATATTTAATACATTTAACACTACTTTGTAACAATATACATATAAATCTGAATTGAATTCAAAGAAGCGGGAAGAAAAAATATACATTGTAACTTAAAAAATTATTTTGGTAATAGTATTTAATAATGATTTAATTTCTAAAACGACATGTTATCTTTATAATGTCACTAATATTAAAAACAAATATTATGATAAGCGCGTTACAGTCTCTTAAGCTGCTCCCTCAGGAGAACACCAGAGGGCGCTGTTCCCAACATTTTGCCTGTATACGCTCGACAACAAAAAGCTTAGCAATGTAAATTAGCCAGACAGGTAAAACCTGTTATGGTAAAGACCATATTCCCCACAGTATTTGTTGTAGCGTATCTGTAAAAGTATATTGAAATCATTTTAATTTTAATTTCATGAACTGTATGACAGCATTACATTTCCATTATATATTTTTATAAACTTTTACAACCACGCACACAAACAAACAAACAAACAAAACAGTGTATAATACAGTACTATAATATGTAAAATATATTATAATATAACAGTAAAATATGTTGTATGTTCTCAAGGCTTTAGAAGTAAAAAAGAAAAAAAGCTTACTTTCTGCTAACATTACCGTTAGAATGTGAATAGTTTGTGAAGTAACTTCTAGAAGTTAGACGGTGAATATTTAGTTTGTCTACAAGGCTTTCTAAGTAAAAATGGCTCAAGTTCAACAGTTAGACAGTGAATATTTTGTTTGGTTACGCTTCAGACGTAAAAATGATCCCAGTGTCTTTCGTTTACGTGTCTGAATGAAGACTTCCACACCCCTAACGCTCATTTTCTAAAGGGCTCCATTCAGTCAGTGGGCGGTGGGAAATCAAAACTCTACTTCTGCAGTCGCTCTGTCCCATTATCAGTTTGAAACACCCAGGTGGAAAGATGAAGCCGTTTCTAAAGTTTACCTAAAGAGCTATACGGATCCCACCTGAAGAATAAATGGACGAATCTGACCTCATAAACGGAATAACCACTGATTCTACGTTTAAGAAGAAACGTCTAGCAGTATTGTGTTTACGGGTGAGCAACTTTTCCTATCCATGACTTTTGATGCCGTTTTCTATCTGTGTTGTGAGAATGTTGAGAGATTGAAATTCATTTTAACAGTTTAGAACAATTTCAAAGAGTAACTATTTAGAATTTAAAAAGTAACAGAAATTCATTCAAAACTCTTGAAACAGTTTAGAACAATTTAAAAGAGTTTAGTAGAACCAGTTAGAATTGAAAAAGTAACAGTCCAGAACAACTTCTTGCCTATACCTGATTATCTCCAAATCAGTGTTGTCTGTATCCACATAGAACCTGTTTGACATGCACAGATCTGTTGATCAAACTTATTGTTTTTTGCTTCTCAAAGGTTTTACAGTCATTTCATGAGCTCAGGGCCCAGTTGCATAAACTTAGCCTCTATGTTAAGACAGTGTCTTAAGTACTAGTCTGACCAACTAGCAGTTAACCAAAGGGTAATCAGTCTTATTTTTTGGATTCAACTTAGACTAATCTACATTTTTATTTAAGTAAATAAAAAAAAATATGACCTGCCTTAAAGAAAAAATTAGCTGACTAACTTTTAAGACTAGTCTAAACCTTTAATGCAACCGGCCCCTGAACTGTGGTTGAACTGTCAGCAGAACCAGCACTGAATGCTATTTGAATTACATTACATACAAAGATCACAGCTGTTTGACTCTTTGCAGAATTTGTGACATGGAAAAGGAAGTGTAGATCTTCCTCTGGGACTATGGAGACAGAGTCTGTCATTTCCAGCTGTTATCTAATGCTGTTCTATGTAGACAGGCCTTTTTCTCCCATCTGTTACATTTCTCACTAGGTCTCCCGGTTACGTGGTCTGATGCACCACCATCGCACCCTCCAATTCTCAAAACACAGTAAGATGACTTAGGCCATCGCACTTTCGTGTTATCACTGCTTATCAAAACTTTCACTCTTCTGCTTTCACTCTCTGTGGTGATATGGACTGTATTGGAGTCGGGTCAGAGCAGAGGTACTGCTGTAGCCAGTATTTGGATAGCGCTTGCCAGGCCAGGGGCAGTTACTGTGGGGGCTTGTGTTTGACTTTCCACCATCCGCTTAAGCTAACATGAGGACCAGATGAAAACTTTCATACTGAACTGCATGGGGGAAAGAGTAATAAAAACCTAATTCAGTATCAATGGTGTAGTCTTAAGGCTGAAATTCAATACATGACTTTTGAAATGCCTGTTTTAAAACAATATAAGCATCATATACTTGCCTATTTTGTGGTTACAGAGAAAAACTCACACATTAAATAAATGAGGATCACCCAGACTTTAAAGTCTGAACACAAAGATTGTCCATACTTCTAAATAAGCTAGCCAAGGTGCATCTCAAGTGGTCCAAAAATTGTAAAGTTGGTTGATTCCGAACACAACAAACTCACAGAGAAGCATGCGCCTTGCTAGGAGATGCATGACTAAAGAAAACAATGTGTTCTAAAAGTGGCTCAAAATATCAAACATGTTTGATATCCTCCGACTGAATGGAATCATAGTCTGAAGCTAAAAAAAATCTGAGTCTGTGCCCATTACACTTCACAAATTTCTTTGAAATCTGCCAACTCCAACTGCTCAAAATCTACAGACTGGCTCTGACTTGTGACAACTGACGTCAACACGTCCAGAGTCAGACTGTAAATCAATGCCACAATCTGGGCAAAAATCTAAAATTTGAGAATTTGTGATGTGACAGCATTAATTCTAAAATAAGTAAACCTTTGTTGGAGATTACTCTTAAACTTTCTCTCAGAGGAGTTGTGGAGTGTCTCAGACATGTCTGAACAGGACCAGTGATTGTTCCCCTTCAGGAACTCGAGCTGCTTCGAGATCGCTTTGGGAACGCCCTTGCGTGACCGCGTTCTGAAGCACGTGTCAATGGCAATGAGCTCATGGAGAATCCGAAAAACAGAAACCTGGAGGATGACACTCTCCCAGGTTGCCAAATTATGAGTTCATTTCATTCATTGCCTAAACCTCATGTCATTTCAAACCATACGACTTTCTATCTTATGTAGAACACAAAAGTAGATGTTTTTCATAATGTTCACACTGCTTTCATACAACAGTATGTAGTATCCAGGGAATTTTTTTTTTAACTCAAAAAGAACCATAAAAAGTATCACAAAGTTAGTCCATACCTCTAAATATTCTGCATTTGGTTGATTCTTAATTTTCCACTTTTGAACATTCTTGTTATTTAGAAATTAAATAAAAAAGGTCAAGCAACCTCCATTGGACCTCTTTAAATGGATTGACCCTGGTGCTTTTTTGTCATATTGGGTGCTTGTCCACCCCTTTTCACTGTCTACTGTGGTTGTATGGGGAAGAGCAGTTTGAATGTTCTGTAAAATTTCTTCTATATTCCACAAAAGCAAGAAACTGGGGTTTGAAACAATATGACAGAGTTTTCACTTTTGGATTAAGGGTTTTAAGCAGCACTGGAATTAAATGCAACATCAGCAATAGTGGTTCTTTGATGTGATCATCATTCATTGTCTCAGTTACTGAACTTGGGTGCAATAGAGGAATTTCCCCTTGGACTGGGAAGAGAATAGGACAGAGGGAGTGTGAGTCATGCCTGTTCTGGGAAATGAGAGAATCAGTTTAGGACTTGAGATGAATCCCACAATGGATTGTGACATGTGGACAAAGGGACTGGATTGGGATGTGTGGAGGGGATATATGGGATGAATAGAGGGATGTTTTGGGCAAAAAATTGTATATTAATAAATTTTAATCTTTTTATATGATTTATGATTCTTAATTTCTTTCTTTTTGAATTGTTGGTATTGCATTCACACATTTAACATTTGTTCACCTGTCTGGTCAGTTCAGTAATGGTACTTATCATATGGTGTCGAATGACATTACGTGTGTTGATTCAGATTCTGGAGTAGGATTGAAATTCATATGCATAATTTTAAAACAAACCCAATCCAAGGTTTCACAACAACAGTACCAGACAGTCAAAATCCCAAAGTCAGTTCATAACTCGTGTAACAGATTAAAAAAGAAATCTAAAGCAATCGATCTACAGGTGTGAAAGCACCCTAAGACTACAAGAGGGTGGGGCAGAAAACAGTGAACTAGGACAAAGCCAAAGCCACAGCAGTATACAAATCAACTCTCAGAGCTGCATGTGGGCTGACAAGATTTCACAATGTGCTGAGTATTTATACATAAACAGGACATATATGAACCAGGTGTAAATGACTGAATGGTTTCAGAAGCCTTGGGAATATTGTGGGAAGATGGGTCAGCAGACATGGATCTTACAGCATGCTTCTTGTTGAGTTTCATTTTGACAGTTGTCTTCTGTAAACGCAGGTATTGTTTTTTCCCCCTCCAGCTCTGTTTGTGTCCCTGCAATTCTCCTGACACTTTCCAGCTCCCCAGAGGAGTAGTTTGGCATTGGGGAAGTGCACATAGTATACAAAGAAATGACTGAAGTAAGTAGCCTATGTATTTCTATTTAATTATGTCCAAGCCTGACTTCATACTTTCCTCAAGATGTCATTGCAGTGCAAAAGTGTCTTGCAAAATTGGCTTTCAGAAGGTCAGAAATGCTTTTGATTAACAGCCCAAAGTTACAGCAGATGTTTGG